GAAAGAAAGAGAGAAAGAAAAAAAAAAGAAGGCAAATTGAGACGAAAACTGCGGATTCTCTGTCAGGATGTATACACAAGGGTATATATACGTACGATGTATATCGATATAGCGGCGAAGTTCTCATTTCACCGAGATATCGGATTTTCCCCGGCTACCCTACTTTCCCTCTGCCGCTTTCTTCTTTATTATCCTTCTATACCGACTTCCTCTCCTGCTGTTCTTTATCCCAAACAAAGCAATCTCGAGTCCGTAGTAGCAGCCCCTACGTGCGACTGCTAGGTGACAATTTATATACCCGCCCACCTATGTAACAACTTACTCACTCGATACGTCTTTCTCGCGCGAGACTGCGGACACTTTCACAGCTACCTCGTGCTTGGTCGTTTCCTATCAAAAAATATCGACTCCCGTGGCTGATGATTCGTGTCGATTAAAGAGTGTGAGAGAGAGAGAGAGAGAGAGAGAGAGAGAGAGAGAAAGAGAAACACCTGCTCAGGGATACTCGGAGCTTGAATATCTAAATATGGCACGTCACGTCTGTTCCTAACGATGTTTCAAAAAACAAGAGAAACATTTTTCTTCTCGAATTTTTCAACGTGATCAATATATTCGTAGACACAAGTTTTCTTTTTTTTTCTTTCAACGCAGAAAACATTGAAATACAGATTCGCGTGAACGTCAAACAAGCGATCGAAATTCAAAATGTTGATAAGTATCGAAACTGTTAGCATTCATAAACGAACAATTGCGAGTGATGATTATTGTTTTCAATTGCAGTAATGGCAACGTAAATTTGATCCACAAAGCGTAAATATCGACGAAAATGAAATTCAAGAGGAGAAACGATCGGCATTACTGTTGAAAACTGGAAAAGATCAATCCCATATTTTTTTCAAGCATCTCCGATCGTGTAAGATACGAAATGTCGCGCTAATAACAAGTCGTTAGAACGACGTATGGATGTCGATGTCGTATACTTAATGCCACGTTATTGAGGAGGGGGCGTACGCATTCAATAAAGCCGATTTCACGCGCGATTCTTCGTATCGGATGCGCGCAACAATAACCGGCGTCACACACGCATACGATTACACTCGTTTGCCGAACGAGGCAACGATGAAAAGTCTACACGTACACAAAGAGACAGAGCTGTTATGGGATAAGAGACATAAGTCCACGGCGTCATATGCTTATAACTGCCCCCTATCAGAATAATATTATTACTCCCGGCCACCCCTCCATTATTCCCGTGACGCGAGGCGTTTACTCCTCTGCCACGGCCCTTTTCTGATATTCTGCAAAATTGTTATGTTACGCGAGAAACGTGTCGAGTCGGGGGCTACTTTGTTCCGTATCCAATCCTCGGGGAAAAGAGGAGGAGGGCAGAGATTTTTATTTTCTTCGCGTCGTCGTCCCTTTTTTTTTCTCGTCTTCGTCAAGCCGAATTCCTCTCTCGCAGAGAACGAGAACTCGCGATGGAAAGTTTCCGCGTCATCGTTGGTTTATCGTCGTCCCGCTTTACGCTCGTCGACGGGACGGATTATCGACGTTGGTCGTACAACTCATCGGTTGTCAGAACTTGCCGCTTAAATATCAATTTGTAAGAGGCGGTTGCCTGATTAGCATCAGCGCGGGCAGAGAGGAGCGCAAAGAAGTTTCGGGCACGACGACGGCAAGATGAAAGTTCAAGGATGCAAATTGGGGTAATATCACGGTGCCGGCAAGTGCAGGGGGAATTCGTAGTTTCCGTCTCGTTGACACCCGCCCCTTCATACCCTCGGTACATTAATTGCAAGATTCATCAAGTCGGCCCTATCAACTAATAATCGGCATCGAGGGAACTACGCGTCAACACGCACGGGTGACATTCGTCGAGTCGTACTACTTGCCAGTCTCGATCGGAAAGAAACTACTTCCCAGTAGTTTCGTCGAATCCGAGTTAAATTCTACCCTCATAAACGTAAGAGTTGAACGATCAAAGTGTACGAGCGGACGAGGTTATTATCACCGAGGAATCGTGAAAAAGAAGTGACGCGGGGGGAAGGGCGAGACAAGGGAGAGGAACAGTTGGCGCCCAAAAATCGTATTATTCGCCCATTTTGAAACTTTGATATCCCATTCGGAGAATGGCTGGATGAATGAATAATTATCTGCCGCTGGTACGAAGCGGGTCTTTCTCTTTTTTTCTTTTTTTTTCTTTTTATTCCTTTCTTTTTCTCCCCTCGCCGGTCTTTCGCTCTTTCCTCCCGAAGACACTTTGCGGGAGGGAGGTAGGCACACCGCTCCCCGAATCCACCTCCAATTTATATAAGCCGTGGCAATCTCAACCCCGGAAAACTCTTATAATAATTCCACGGATTGCCCATCCCCTTGGGAAAGCCGCGCGCGATGTTCATTTCATTATTTTTTTCTTTTTTTCCTTTCCCTCCTTTCGCCGCCTTTGGTCCCTCTTCCTCCGTAGTATCGCGAACCGTCGTACACCCCCTTCTCGTCGCTTCTCGTCACTGCCGTTTCGCTGCCCCCCTTCGCCTACCCCTTATCTACCACCCCCGCGAGCCCCTTTCGCACACGGAGGCGACCCACCACCATCCACGCTGAGAGGGTGATAAGTCGTGACGTCGACGAGGTAGAGGTGATTCCGAAGGGTAGGCGTGGCCGTGGCATCCCACCCTCCGCAAGGGGGGTGCGAGGGGTCGAATCGAGAGGAAAGGGTGGCTCGCGGTACGCTCTCGTTGGCTGTACTACCCTCCACCACCACGTGGCGCGGGCAATGCCGCTGGTGGACGCCGCTATAGAGGCTGGAAATATCGTGTAAGAAAAAGCCAGGAGAACCATCGCCGATGGGACCACCCCTCCTGTTTTCACCAGGCCCTTCTCCGCGACGACGATTCTACTTAAGCTACCGAATATGTTCCCGACTACCACCCTTTGCCAAACCGCCCCTGAACGGTTGCTCGCGCTTCCTTCTCTTTCTCTATGCCAGCTACGTGCCACGTTTAGCTCTTTTCTGTCCAGGTATTGCTATTTTCCCGTGTTTCGATGACCGGTTAGAGAAGGAGTACGTGCAAGGTAGCTCGCCTGCCTGTGTCTTCGACGCGATCGATCAAGATTCAACATAGCTCTCTCTCTCTCTATCTCTCTCTCTCTTTCTCTCTCCCTGTCTATCTCTGTTTACTGGGCATGGAAGCGGACAACGTACACGGACAGTGTCCGATTCCGGTGATCGTTGCGCCTGTTAATTTGATTAACCCTGCCGACATTTCCGTCGGCAGGGACGCCGCGATTTCTGCACGCGTCGCGTGCCTGGACCCACGTACAGATGAAAATCGGATGCCGGTGTACTCGGGCAATTTGAGATTGCGATGGCAGGATGACGTCGAGAAAAGGGGACAAGTAAATAAAAATCGTGTAGTCTGCGATTTCGATTTTAAAGCTTTCGACGATGGTGAAAGTAAAGGTGTTGATGAAAGAAGACTGGCAGAGGACGTGGACGATCGCCAAGTCGGCTGATCATTAATCCTATTATCATCGTCGTTATCGTCATTATTATTATTATTATTATTATTATTATTATTATTATTATTATTATTATTATTATTATTATTATTATTGTTATTATCACAACGGTTATAATTATACGCCGAGGCGGCGTAATCGTTATAATCGTTATGGCGGTTTAGGGCCGGTGAAAAGTGGCCGGTGGAACGCGTCGCCGGCATAATTATACCTGCAAGAAAATCACATTGCGCGAAACGATCTCGTACGACACGTACGTTCACACGAGCAGCGCGCTCGCGCGTGTACGGGCCACGGTTAGTGTGTTAGACGGCAATAGACGGGCCACGGTACCTAACCACACCGATAAAACGACACACGTACACCCGCAGGCACTCTCGTGGTAGTGAGAGATAATAATGTTGATAAGGGTGTAGAGAGAACCGCTCGGCAACCCGTACTGGCTCGTTGGCCAAATCGAACGAATATAAGAGCGAAAAGGACATAACAAAATTGTGTGTGTGCGCGCGCGGTCGCGCGCGCGCTACAGTCTGTGTGTTTTCCGTGTACCTAGAAGGGGCGAGAAGAAGAAGGATACAAAGGGTGAGAGCGAGCAAGAGAGGGAGTAAGAACGGGGTGAAAGAAAGACGGAGGGAGAGAGAGAGAGAAAACACGCGCGGCAGTCAGACGGGGGTGAGTAGGCGTGGCTATGGAACTACCCCCGAAGCAGCCGATTGGACGGACCGTTGGTCTGCTTCGTCAAATAAAATCCAATCGTTAGGACCAAAGGAATGCGAGTCTCCTAGCTTTTTTCCTCCCTTGCCACTTGGGGCGAGCCACCCCCCTGCACCGTTCGCCTTCCCACTCCATTCCTTCTTCTCCGCGGTCTCTGTCCCTTTCAAGCCTTCTCTCGCCAGGCTCTCCCTTCCGTTACCTTCAAAGGGGGGTTGGTGGGGAGGGGGAGGGAGAGCGTTGGAGGTGCGCGCAGCGCCGTTTGATGGGAGTATGATTTTATTACGGCATTACCGAGCGAGCCAAACCCCGAATTGCTCGGCTTATAGTCTGTATTATCTCACCTAAGAGGAAAGAGGAGGGGCGGTTTTGCACGCCGGTTTTCTCCAAGAGGGTGGAACGGTGTCGAGAGGGGGGGTGGGGGCAAGGGTACAGAGTAACACACTCCTTCCTCCCCTTCTACACCCTCTTCCACCTATATACACACACACAGGCAGAGAGCCGCTGCCTATACGTTAAAGGGGGCTGTTTCGTGAATCCCGTTGCACGGGGGAGGGGGCAATACACAGCTAGCTATATGCCTTTGTCGGTTTTCATTCGAGGGTTGCACGCTCTCACGTTGCGTTGCCACACTCTGAGCAACCCCCTTCTCTCTCCCGGCTGTCTATCCGTCTGTCTCTCTCTCTCTCTCTTTGTCCCTCTCTCGGTCTGTCTCTCTGTGCTCGCATGCACGTCAGTTGACATTCCGCTGCCGAAATCGCACGTTCCTCCACGGCGTAAACCATCTCTCTTAACGTGACAGTTCCGTGGCGGTCAGTTGCGGCCGGCGAAGTGAAATGAGGACCCGCGTTCACCGTTGCCTCGAGAGGTTCTTCTTGTGATCAGTTTTTTTTTTTTTTCTTTCTTTCTGAGTGAGACCATGCCATGCAGCGCGATCGTGTTCGTCGATTGACGGTTCGATCCCACGCGAGGACACGAACATTCGCGCGAATGGATCCAGGGACGGTACAGTGACGTTCGTTCCATCTCTCCGAACGTTGGACGTCCACGAGATCGTGGACGATATGTTGACACGCTGTTTTTTGTTTTCACACTGACCGAGTGCGGAAACCTCGAGGACACTCCGTAGATCACCGTAGTTGGTACTTTTGTTTCGTTGTGCTCGATCGAGAGAAACGAGTGTGAAGTTGTGTACAGAAATTTCTTGGAACATTAGGAGAAACCACCGTTTGAACGTGCAGTCGAATAGAAAAGCTCGCGAAACTTTCTTGCGAAGAGAAACAGGTCTGAGAGAAACACTCTGTCTGTGAATTCGCGCGAGGGAATTACACACGACCGATTGGCGGACGTAGCGTCGAGTGACTAGCAGCAGGAGGAGGGTGGAGGGGGACGGAGGAGCCAAGGGGCCGTGATATGTTTCCTTCGTCAGCGGCGATGCTGAAGAATCTGCAACAAAGTGCAATGACCTCGCCCTTTTTGATGGAGAACTTGCTCCAGAGCAAGGCGTCGCCCGGTGCGGACCTCACCAGCTTGACCTTGAACTGGGCGGCGAGTCTGGTAGCGAGACAGCGTGAACGGGAATGCGAGGCGAGCCTGAGGATCACCAGAGAGAAAGTCTCGCCGTCGAGCGCGAATCAGGATCAGCTGGATCAGCGATCGGCCACCGGCGCACGTGGCGCGGATCGTGCAAGCACGATGATCGACTGCAGGGACCATCAACGAGGATCCTCGGTGAGGATCGTCGACCGACAGAACGATCGTATGCACATTCTACGGGAGAAGGACGGGATGGAGAGGGGCCAGATCACGTACGTGGACGTGGACAACGAGAGGATCGACGGCCATGTAATCGTGGATCGTCTCTGCGCGATGGAGAGGCTCTGCAACGAGAGGATCGAGAACCGATCGAGCTCCGCGGTGGACTCGTGCAACTCGAACGTCGACGAGGATCCGACCAGCATCGAGATGGACGGTGGGCTTCAAGGCGAGAGGGAAAAGGACGACGGGATTCTAGGAGGTGGTGAACGCGTGACGGCGTTACAGCCGGACAGGCGGTACGACCTTGGATGCAGAAACGTCATGCACACGTCCGATGAGATGACGATTCAAGGGGAGAGAGAGGTGGCGGTCGAGCGTGTCGTCGACAGGATAGGCGAGAGAACGACCGCCTGTTCCTGCGGCGACGAGCAGTGCTTAGGACCCGCATGCAGGACCATCCAGGAGAAGGAGAAGCCGCAGCTCAAGTTCAGCGTCAACGCTATACTCGGCGGTAATCATGACAGGCGACCGCATTCGGGTAATTGTTCTAACATGAGACCTCGCGCGCGTTTATCGCCCGTTGTTTCTTCTATGCTTTAAGACAGTGCTGCTCGCCAGCTTTTCATCTTCGTAGATACGCTACGTCGCGTGGAGTAGATTCTTTCACAGAGAGTCTTTCGCCTAACTTGAACGAATAGTAGCATAGTCCTTCTGTATAAAAATTTAAACGAAAGGACGAAAGAGTATCGTCCCGTCAAATTGTTTGCCAAACGATTTTCAACAGCTTTGTTAACGATTCTTAGCAAAAGCTGATGACAACTTTTATCTTAAGGTGAACCAAACAGTCTATATAAATAGTCTAAGTTAACTGACTACTTACAAGGCCGTCGTCTCTAATTAAACTTGGCAAAGTCAGGGAGGATGGGTTCCTGATTAACAAAGTAGACGTCAGAAGAATCTCTTGGTCGTCTCTAAGCGTTTAGAGTGTTGAAACAAAGCTCACCACAAATCAGTGTCGCCGGCAGACTTCTGTCGTCGGTCCCTAAATCTCATCCGCACACCCTCAAGACGAGTCGCAGCGTGCGTGCAGGGTGGAGCAGGACGTCAGCTGGTCGGCCACTTACCTTCACCCCAATATTAAGCCCTTACGATTGGTGCCTATAATATTAGACAAGCGGCAGGATCAAATGATGTATTACCCTGCCTCTTATCGCGTTTCCTTATTCACAGTAATTCCGGCGACGTCGCCGAGAAATTGCTCCGCCTATTACCTTAACCTTTCGATTTATGACGGAAACTGGTGACATGGCCATACCATCGAAATACGTCTCCATACCACCGTCGTCTCGTTACCTTTCCCAACCTAAATCTGCCATCATTTTACCAACCAGGAGACTGACTTGGAACGGCTCACTTTGTCTTTAATCATCGACCGATGATGCCGATCGAAAATTCGTTTCTTTCATCTCTTAAAAGAGAAAAAAATAGGGGGGGGGGGAAGAAAAGGAGTAACAGAAGAAAAAACGAAAAACACATCACGTACATCCGAACCACTTCAGTGTACATCAAACCGTACAATCTCTTGCATCCCCCCGTCGTTCTTTTTTTCCCTTCCTCCCCCCCCCTCCCCCCTCGCCTGCACCCTTCCCTACCACTAACGAGTGATTGACACGAGTCGATAAAGTTCATGCACATACGATAAATACATAAACGGGCACCGGCCCACCCGGCAGTGGGATGGAAAGCAGGTAGGAAAGCCGAAAAGCGGGAACGAGACCCGGCGAGGAAAGAGAGAACCCGAGAGATGGTTCATCAGCAGCGGGGGGCAGAGCGGGGGGGGGGCGGACAGGGAGGGTACCGGATGGGAAGAGGGATACGTGTGGACGAATGTAGATAGGTGGAGAGGCAAATGTTGCATTTAACATTGGCGGATTGCATGCATGCGCCGGTGGAAGAGGAGAAGGCAACCAGTTGGAGAGATAGAGAAGAGTAGTCGGGGAAATTTGGTGCGCCCGGAATACAGGGGGTGGAGAGGGGTGGGGTGGGGTTTCATGCATTTGTCGGATAGCGGATGCATTGACCGTGCCACGTGCATGTGTTACATCCCTCCTCCCCTCCCGCACCCCCGAACCCACCCTCTCCTCCTGCGTGAATCCATCGCCTCCGATAGACCCTCCAGCGTCCATGAGCTGTCCCCTCCCCCCGACTCACCCCCTCCTCCCCCCTTCCCTCTTGATGCAACTCATCTCAACAATCCACCCCCTTCGACCATCCCATCCCTCGTTTTCTCTTTCTCTGCCACCCTCTCCCCCCCCCCCCCCCCGTCGTGACCGGTGGTACTATCGTTCGGTCCGCTTGGTTTGTACGTCATGTCGAAACGTTGTGAAATAATTGCGCGAAAAAGTGATTGGCAACAAACTCGAAATTCATCGACGGGACGCGAACGAACGCCGGAGGTAACGTGGAGTTAGGGACGGAAGGGGGAGCGGCGGGCGAGGGGGCGGGGGAGGGGGGAGGGTGGCGCGGCGCACGGTCTGGAGTGGATGGGCGTTTGACGGGAGAGCGACGTTAAATTTCGAATAGCATTTTCGCCAATCGTTGTGCGATTTACCAGGTACCTCGCACTCTTTCGCGCTCTGCTCTCGTCTTCCTCCCTTTCACAGTGCTGCGGCGCGTGCTGTTTCCGTCTCCCTTGCCCGGTGTCGCGCTTCCATTCGCCCCCTCTTGCTCTTCTCTTCTCCCCCTCCCCCCGCCCCCCTCTTCCCTGTTGACGCCTGTTTCTCGTTGTTGTTTGTCGTTATTATTGATATTTTTCGATATCGAGCGTGACGCGACCGGAGACTCGTGTACTATAGATGGATGGCGAAATGCGTGTGCGCCCCCCGTGCCGTTTCATTGTTTCCCCTCTTTCTCCAATGTCTGTGTTTTAGTCACTCGTTGGAAGCGATGCTAGACTAGAGGCTGGAAGAATTGTCACGGAGGGACATTAGTCGGGAAACGAGCCGACGACCATAGTAAAGAACTAGCCCCGTCAACCAGAAACCAACTGGAATTCAATCAGATCGGTTACCTTTCGGCACACCTTTCTTTCGCGACTATGGCTGTAAAAGATGTTTGTACATTACCCTTAAACTCCTTAAAAGTAAGCACAAACATCTGTGTTCCGCAGCCACTCTCCAAATATCGAAGCTCCAATTTTGACGCCGCGAACCTCGTTTCCTTCGCGCTGCTCGCCGAACTGCGTAAATCGCGCGCAACGAGAAAATTCGCGATTCCCAAATTCTCGATCGAGTTAGCACGCCGGCGAGAGGCAATAAGTCACGGTACGGGACGTCAGCCCGCTAACTGTGCGCCAAGGGAAACATCGTGCCTCTATTACCGAACCGCATCGCGGCGAGACGCGCCGCGCCGTTTCCTCGCCGTGCATAAATCGTGCCACTCCCCATTCAACCGGGGAAACCTGCAGCGGTGTCTACTTAATAATGCATCAAATACCCTAATCCCAAAGAATAACCACCGATATGTTGTATCTCGGTTTACGTAGGTAGCGGGACCAGGGTGAACGCCAGCCCGGGGAGGGTCTTTCTAAGCCCGGGCATTAAAAAAAAAAAAAAATAATAATGAAAGACGAGGAAAAGCACAGCTCTACAACTGTAACAACAGAACGGCGGGCTGGATATCCTCAACGACCTTTTCGAACGTTTAATCTCCCCGATGATTCGAACAGTTTGCGCGGAGGGAACAGAGACAGAGATAGATCGGGCTCTCGCGAAGCCGAGTAGGTTCGAAGGAGGTGGAGCAGCTTAAAAAACGATTCCCATTCAATGTTTCCGTTGGAGGTTAAGCCGTTATTAGTTGGCCGGGGCTCGCGGATCCTGGCAGGGCAGCTCCTCTTATTGGCTGGCTAGGAAAACAACGATAAAAGGCGATGAGTATTTTATGGGGTACACCGGGCACAATAGGACGTCGTGTATGGGCCATTGTTAAACCATTGTCTGGCCGGAACGCAAGGCAAACCTCTCTTTCTCCGTTCGATTCCAGCTTCTTCTCGGTCTTTTGGTGGGACGTAACGCGGGGACTATTATTTTATTATTTTCAAACACGTCGCCTTCTCTCTCTCTCTCTCTCTCTATTATTTTCTTTTCTTTCTTTCTTTTTTTTTCCCTACTTGGTTAAATTGGGCGTAGCAGTGCTGAAAAAAAAAAGTTGTTGCGAACACACGTCGGACCATCGACCCTCTTAGACGCGCATAAATCATTGGCATACATTTTTCTTTGCCCTTTCTTGTTTTCCCCTCCCTCCCCCCTTTCCTCTTCTCGAGGGGTAGGCCGCGGTTTATCAACTACTTGTTTTATTATTTTATCCTTGTTGGATGAACTTTGGGTGATTCTCTCGTAACTTTTTCCTTTCACCGGGTTGATTTTTTTTTTTTTTTCCCCCGTACGAAATTTTTATTTGGACGAACAAGATCGTGCCCATTGTGCAAGGTAAAATATATCAAAGCGAATTCACACGTACGACGAATATATCCGTACTAGTATTTGTACCGGAGGTGTTGAAGCGTGCGTCAACAAGAGGTTTGGGCTCAGAGCCTCGAGCTGTTGAGGAGGGTTTCAGTCGGGGGTGTCAGCTCGGATTATGCATCGCAAGGAATACTGACTATGACTTGAGTATTCCGTCGCGCGAAGATCCGGGAACCTTGGGCGTTTCGCAGGTTCGCTCATCTGTAAAAAACCTGCTCCTCTCGTTTGCCCTCATCTTAACTCGATTCTCTCGAGTTAATTGAACAGAATTTATCTGAGAAATGTGCCTATACTTTCACACACATAATAATAAATTAGCGAATAATAGTCACTCGCGTTTACTTTTCTCTTTCTTTAATCGATCGAACGTGTCTCGTACTTGCGCAGAGAATTTTCAAGGACTTCCGCCGGAAGCGATACCGGCCTTCCTGCAAAATCTGCAAAACTCGGCGAGCTACAACATCGCGAAACCGATCGCCAGACCGGCGGCTTATCATCCTTATCACAGGCCGAGCCATCAACCGCCTCAGCGCCATTTGCCCCCGAATGCGCATCACACGTTGCAACAATTGTTCTACAGGGGACCCTACCTAACAGGTAAACAAACTGTTTAGAATTCTTATAATTTGTATGTCCTAGAAATAGAAAACAAGAACTCGAGTTAGAGTTTGGTAAACGTTGAAAGATCAAAGTTAGCGAAACTCCATAGTTTTCGGGGGGTCGATAGTCTACGTAACATACACTTGACTCGAAGCCAAAACCAAGCTGATCAACTCCATAAATTCAAATAACAAAGAGAAACAACTACGACTATGGACGTTATTTTTTTTCTTTCAAATGTGATCTTTCACATTGATTGTTCGTGTTATCTTCTTGCTACGAACGATTCATTCTCGTCGATTTTCCTTTACTGTCCTCGATGATTTTTCAATTTAATATCCTCTACCAAGGAAATGGAAACAAAGATGCTAAAGAAAGAGAGAGAGAGAGAGAAAAAGAAAGAAACAAGATAAACCAAGTGAAAAATTGCAAATCATTGTTGCTTATTTCCATAATCGCTCGCGCGTTGGTGAAAAAAGGGGAGCGCGACGAGCGACGAAAAAACGGCGTTGAATTGTTCACGAAGAGAGAAAAAGGAAAAAGAAGGGAACGAAAATGTTGGTCATTATTCCTGGATACTCGAGAGAGAGAGAGAGAGAGAGAGAGGAAAAGTTAATAAACAAGCTGGACGCGAGGCGGAAACACAATCTCGATGAACATTTAAAACCGAAACTTCCGCACATGGCGCCAAAGCGTATAAACGCGGGCACGTGCACGGGCACGGGTTTATCGAATATCTTGTTATAGGTAGGCTCGTATGGGACATGGAGTGCATATGAAGTGCAGTGAAAGCACTACCATATTATGTACATGCACCGCCACAAGCAAAATGCACGCATGCAACAAGTGCGTGCAAATATCATCGGCGCAGATAATACTGTCATGCTCAGCTTGGCAATATTGTACAGATACGATCTGGAGATTCAATTGCCCGTTCGTTATTAGATGACTTTGATTCAATTACTATCGAGGACCGGGCCTTTGATGTACGAGTAATAAATTTTGTCTATCGACGTTGTTTTTTTTCCCTCCCCGCCCTCGAACGCTGATGGAGTGATTTGTTCTAACAAAAAAAGGAAAATATGTTAACTCGATACAAATTGACGAATGTTTTTAATTGTGCCACAAAGATTTAAGAAGAGATCTTGAAATTTCGCTGAATATCGTAACGAGATACAATTGCATCGACATAGTTCGACAAAGATGCGTTGAAGTCGAATGAGAAATGTTTCGCTAATTGTGAAACGTACAATTGATACAACAAATTAGCATCTAACGTGTGTTGAAGATTGGCTTTATCGTTCGTGTTTATTAATACAGCTTTCCATGTACATTTTCAGATTTTCAATATCTACCGATCGTGATCGTCAATCAGTTGTGACATCACGATTTCGTTTAACCTCTTGCGCTGGAATGACGTGGAATCACGCACGTCGAGAATTTTTTGTTCCAAAATTGCAATATTTTCTCAGTTTTAAGTATATTCAAATATGCTTAATATATTTAAGTTAATTATATATTTATTTAAGTTATATATGTATAATATATATTGTTGTATATATATAAATAATATATAATTCAAGTTAATATATATTTAAATATATTTAAGTTTTAACCTTCTAAGTATCAACGTCAGGTATATCGACATTTATATAATACAATATTTGAGAAAGCCGACTGTCCGATATATCAATGGTCTCTCTTCTTGTTTTTGAGTAGCTTGAGTCTTTATTTGATTTGACTAACTTTGAAAATACAGGAACATACAACAATTTATATGGAAACATGTAAAATTAAACTTCGCCTGGCGATTTAAATCCGTCCACTAGCGGAATGAGGATTTAAATACCCCGTTCTTAGAAGGTTAAGTATATTTCAATATAATCTCAGGCAAAACAAATAATAAATTCGTCACTTGTTAATAATTTCTATCCAGCGGATTTCTATCGTACCGGCGATAGTTCGAAAGAAATTGCGACGAATTATCGTGTATCGGGTTCGGTCACTCGTTATGGTCCGCCAGCGCAAGTGGTTTCGAAATTCGACCGTGTCTCAGGCTAACATTTCGAGCGTAAAACATGTGTGATCGGTAGTGGCGAGTTCCGGAACCGGAGGTCATCATCCCGGCGCTCCAGGTGGCGGGACAGCGTTTCCAGGCGCGATTCAAGGCGGGCTGGGCGATTTCACCAGCACCGGCCTGGTATTCCCGTGGGCGACGAACGCGCGCGGAAAGCCTCGCCGTGGAATGATGAGACGAGCGGTTTTCTCGGATCTTCAGCGACGCGGCCTTGAAAAGAGGTTTCAGATACAAAAGTACATCAGCAAGCCGGACCGTAAGAAACTGGCTGAGAAGCTCGGTCTGAAGGATTCTCAGGTAAGTGGCAGATCGTTCTTTCAAAAAATTATATCATCTTTGTCGTAAAAAAA